CCTCCATTACTAGACTAAATACCTCCATTACTAGACTAAAGACTTAATACCTCCATCACTAGACTAAATACTAAATACCTCCATCACTAGACTAAATACCTCCATCACTTGACTAAATACCTCCATCACTAGACTAAATACCTCCATTACTAGACTAAAGACTTAATACCTCCATCACTAGACTAAAGACTAAATACCTCCATCACTAGACTTAATACCTCCATCACTTGACTAAATACCTCCATCACTAGACTAAATACCTCCATCACTAGACTAAATATCTCCATCACTAGACTAAAGACTAAATACCTCCATCACTAGACTAAATACCTCCATCACTAGACTAAAGACTTAATACCTCCATTACTAGACTAAAGACTTAATACCTCCATCACTAGACTTAATACCTCCATCACTTGACTAAATACCTCCATCACTAGACTAAATACCTCCATCACTAGACTAAATATCTCCATCACTAGACTAAAGACTAAATACCTCCATCACTAGACTAAAGACTAAATACCTCCATCACTAGACTAAATACCACCATCACTAGACTAAATACTAAATACCACCATCACTAGACTAAATACCTCCATCACTAGACTAAATGCTTAATACCACCATCACTAGACTAAATACCTCTATTACTAGACTAAAGACTAAATACCTCCATCACTAGACTAAAGACTAAATACCTCCATCACTAGACTAAATACCTCCATCACTAGACTTAATACCTCCATCACTAGACTAAAGACTAAATACCTCCATCACTAGACTAAAGACTAAATACCTCCATCACTAGACTAAAGACTAAATACCTCCATCACTAGACTAAATACCTCCATTACTAGACTAAAGACTAAATACCTCCATCACTAGACTAAAGACTAAATACCTCCATCACTAGACTAAATACCTCCATCACTAGACTAAATACCTCCATTACTAGACTAAAGACTAAATACCTCCATCACTAGACTAAAGACTAAATACCTCCATCACTAGACTAAATACCACCATCACTAGACTAAATACTAAATACCACCATCACTAGACTAAATACCTCCATCACTAGACTAAATGCTTAATACCACCATCACTAGACTAAATACCTCTATTACTAGACTAAAGACTAAATACCTCCATCACTAGACTAAAGACTAAATACCTCCATCACTAGACTAAATACCACCATCACTAGACTAAATACTAAATACCACCATCACTAGACTAAATACCTCCATCACTAGACTAAATACCTCCATCACTAGACTAAAGACTAAATACCTCCATCACTAGACTAAATACCTCCATCACTAGACTAAATACCTCCATCACTAGACTAAATACCTCCATCACTATACTAAATACCTCCATCACTAGACTAAAGACTAAATACCTCCATCACTAGACTAAAGACTAAATACCACCATCACTAGACTAAATACCTCCATCACTAGACTAAATACCTCCATCACTAGACTAAATACCTCCATCACTAGACTAAAGACTAAATACCTCCATCACTAGACTAAAGACTAAATACCTCCATCACTAGACTAAATACCTCCATCACTAGACTAAATACCTCCATCACTAGACTAAAGACTAAATACCTCCATCACTAGACTAAATACCTCCATCACTAGACTAAATACCTCCATCACTAGACTAAATACCTCCATCACTAGACTAAAGACTAAATACCTCCATCACTAGACTAAATACCTCCATCACTAGACTAAATACCTCCATCACTAGACTAAATACCTCCATCACTAGACTAAATACCTCCATCACTAGACTAAATACCTCCATCACTAGACTAAATACCTCCATCACTAGACTAAAGACTAAATACCTCCATCACTAGACTAGTTTAAACTTGAAATCAATCGATTTGAAAAGAACGGTCTTAAATCTCTCCCCCCCCCCCTGCCCTGTGTGAGGAATCTAGCAAGAGAAGCCACGTGTGGCTACACCTGTACCGGCCCAACCACTCAAACACCTGGCACTTGCAAGCAGTGGGCAGGCCAGGTGTCTTATGGGCGGGTCACATGGATGTGCTATAAGCTTATAGTGGTGGTGGTTTGTGGTGGGGGTGGGGGTGGGGGTGGATTGAGGTACTTTATGATCCACATTTTTCTTATCAAATAGAATCTTAAGACGGTAGTCATGACGTCATATCACGTCAGCCTCATGACATCAGCTCATGACCGCCGCATGACGTCAAATCAAGTCAGCCTCATTACGTCAGAATATGACATCATATCATGACTGCTAGATTATAGGAATAAAGTGACATGAAAAAATCACAAGCAAGTCACCGAAAAAAGTCAGAGAAAACAGTCACAGAAATAAAGTCACACATTTCTATTTGCATGGAATTTGCTAATGACATTTTGGCTGATGTATTAGTATTTGAAAACTACAAACCAGCGTCGATTGTATTAATATCAGAGTAAACATTTCAAGTGCTGATTAAATTAGCTGTATTTTGATTGGCTATCATCGATTTGCAACGCCTATTTTTACTTTCTCGTATACGAAGTATTGAGGAAGTATTGTAATCGTGCAAAAAATCGAAATCGAAATTTTCACAAATCTCGACGTTTTACACCTCCCAAAGTCAGAAATCTGCATTTTGTCCGTGTGTGTATGTGTGTCTCTGTGTCTGTCTCTGATTATGATAACTTGTGTACCGTTACAGATAGGGGTTGATGAAATTTCATATAAAAGTATAACACCAAATTTCTAGTTCTATATCAACTTTTCAGCGATTTCCGGTAACCGGAAGTGGAACTTATTCTACATTCGGTTTTTCAAGAGCCTATAACTTGAGTACTGTTTCTGATAGATAGACGAATGTTCACACATAAGTTAAAAATCCAATTCTCTGTTTTCTGTCCAATTCTGGGTAATTTCTGGTGACAGGGAGTGGTGCTTTAGACTATATCATATTTCTAAAAAAACCACATGAATTTATTTTTAACTTCATTCCTCCGTGTATCGTCTGTCAAGGTCGGGAAATTGCAAACGAAATTCCGAACACTGCTACCGGACCGAGTTATTTCATATTTTTCTTTTTCCATTACTAATGTTCCGCACTATTATAAACACGTTGTTTGCAGGTCATTTTGGTGCGCAATTCTTTTTCTACGAGATTCTATGCTATTTAAAATAAACCGGTAGTGATCTCCCCTAAATTTTATCGAATATTCTTATATAAAACAACAGGGGATGGCAACTCGGGATAAAGTTATGATTTTTAATCCATTTTAAATACTTAGACTTTTTAAAATAGAATAAAATCTCATAGAAAAAAGAATTGCGCACCAAGCGAACGCCGAATAAAGATGTGTATAATAGTGCGGAATATTATTAGTACTTTATAAATTCACATGCGTTTTTTTGAGAAATCGGAAATAGTGACAATTACTACTTCCGGTCAACTTGAGTACTATTTTAGATAGATAAATGAAATTTCACAAATAAGTAAAAGATCTAATTTAATGCATTCTGTCAAAGTTTGAGTAATTTCCGTTGACCGGTGACACCATTAAGTGCCGCACCGGGTGACACCCGACCTCGCTACGCCACTGCCGTAAATGATGAAAATGATGAAAAATGTCAACATTTTATGTGATTTTTGTGCACGATTACAATACTTCCACTATGCTCTGTATACGAGAAAGTAAAAAGACACTAACTTTACCGCCTAAATTCGCACCCCTGCCCCCGAACAAAATAGTATTTATATTGAAGATATATACTTTTACCAGTGTCTCGAAATCGAGATTTGTGAAAATCACAAATCTCGATTTCGATAAAGAACTACACATTTGATATAATACTTATTTATGGAATTTCATCAACCTAGCTGTAACCGTACTCAAATTATCGTGTTCACAGACATACATCCACACAGACACACACACACCGACACACAGACGCACGCACACACACACACGCATACACACATAGAAATACTCAGGGAGGTGCAAAACGTCCAGATTTGTGAAAATCTCGATTTCAATTTTTTTCGCACGATTACAATACTTCCTCTATACTTAAGTTACGAGAAAGTAAAAACAAAATGAATTCGCACGGGATTTGGAACACATTGAACGTCTTCACGTTCACCTGGGAGCATTAACGGGTACCTGGGACCATATCTATACGGGTACCTGGGACCATTAACGGGTACCTGGGACCATATCTATACGGGTAACTGGGACCATATCTATACGGGTACCTGGGACCATATCTATACGGGTACCTGGGACCATATCTATACGGGTAACTGGGACCATATCTATACGGGTACCTGGGACCATATCTATACGGGTACCTGGGACCATATCTATACGGGTAACTGGGACCATATCTATACGGGTACCTGGGACCATATCTATACGGGTACCTGGGACCATATCTATACGGGTACCTGGGACCATTAACGGGTACCTGGGACCATATCTATACGGGTACCTGGGACCATATCTATACGGGTACCTGGGACCATATCTATACGGGTACCTGGGAACATATCTATTCGGGTACCTGGGACCATATCTATACGGGTACCTGGAACCATATTTATACGGGTACCTGGGACCATATCTATACGGGTACCTGGGACCATATCTATACGGGTACCTAGGATCATATTTGTACGGGTACCTAGGACCATATCTATACGGGTACCTGGTACAATATCTATACGGGTACCTGGGACCATATACGGCATATGGGTACCTGGGACATACACTTGTCGGTCTTTCGTCAGTGTCGGCCTTTTGTCAGTGTCGGCCTTTTGTCTATGTCTGCTTATGGTACTGATGTTTTACGTGTATTTTTAAATTTAAAAAATTATGAATGAAGAAGCTCAAACAAGTGCACTCATTAATGGGACGTAGTTTTACTAATTAGTGGGTCACAACTCCACTAATTAGCGGGTTTTCATTAATTATCTAAACACCGCCGCCTACCTTATGAAGGCTTGTATATCCACATTAATCCACATCCATGTTGCTGGGTTGTCATTCGGGTACGTGAGATCCGCCAAAACTGATGACGTCATTCCCTCTGTAAAAACGGCCGGACAGGTCTGGGAACATTTTTGTCAGCTCTAATCCGTCCGTTCCCTGCCATGTTCCCTGCCATGTTCCCTGCCACAAATCAATGGAACGTGTCGAGGGGGTAACGTGTGGCAGACGATAGGAGCGCGGCACGGAGGGGCGAGAAGGATCAGTCGGTAGCTATTGACGAGGTGTCGGGGCGGGCAGAAGGTGTCGCGCCATCTGACGAACACCTCTCAACACCTCGGCTGTCACTTGCTTGGGGGAGGGGCGGGGCGACAGGGAGAGGTACTAGACCCGCTACCGTACATCGGGTGGACCCGCTACCGTACATCGGGTGGACCCGCTACCGTACATCGGGTGGACCCGCTACCGTACACCGGGTGGACCCGCTACCGTACATCGGGTGGACCCGCTACCGTACATCGGGTGGACCCGCTACCGTACACCGGGTGGACCCGCTACCGTACACCGGGTGGACCCGCTACGTACATCGGGTGGACCCGCTACCGTACATCGGGTGGACCCGCTACCGTACATCGGGTGGACCCGCTACCGTACATCGGGTGGACCCGCTACCGTACATCGGGTGGACCCGCTATCGTACATCGGGTGGACCCGCTCGCTACCCGCTACCGTACATCGGGATGTTTTAAGTGGTCAGACTAATTGATGTGAGGGGTGGGCTAGTTGATGTGAGGGGTGGGCTAGTTGATGTGAGGGGTGGGCTAGTTCATGTGAGGGGTGGGCTAGTTCATGTGAGGGGTGGGCTAGTTGATGTGAGGGGTGGGCTAGTTGATGTGAGGGTTGGGCTAGTTGAAGTGAGGGGTGGGCTAGTCGATGTGAGGGGTGGGCTAGTTGATGTGAGGGGTGGGCTAGTTCATGTGAGGGGTGGGCTAGTTGATGTGAGGGGTGGGCTAGTTGATGTGAGGGGTGGGCTAGTTGATGTAAGGGGTGGGCTAGTTGATGTGAGGGGTGGGCTAGTTGATGTGAGGGGTAGTTAAAGTCATGTCTCATACGGCCAATAGATGACATGCCATCTGGCCAATAGATGACATGCCATCTGGCCAATAGATGACATGCCATCTGGCCAATAGATAACATGTCATCTGGCCAATAGATGACATGCCATCTGGCCAATAGATGACATGTCATCTGGCCAATAGATGACATGCCATCTGGCTAATAGATGACATGCCATCTGGCCAATAGATGACATGCCATCTGGCCAATAGATGACATGCCATCTGGCCAATAGATGACATGCCATCTGGCCAATAGATGACATGCCATCTGGCCAATAGATGACATGCCATCTGGCCAATAGATGACATGACATCTGGCCAGTGGTTGACATGCCATCTGGCCAAGAGATGACATGTCAGCTGGCCAGTGTCACAAAATTAAGTTCATACAGAATTCCTACAAAAACATCGAGTGACCTCACACTCCATAAAACACATTGGCAACATCTAAAAATACTTTTACAATCCAACTCACGCAGGAATCAGGTTTTGACCTTAAAAAGCCAGGGAATCGTCCACGTTTTGTCAGGAATTTGGAGCTAGCCCAGGGGATGAAATTCTCGTTGATTGAAACGTCTGCTGAAGTACTCACCGCGCGCTGCCAGAACGAGACCCTGATTGATTCTGCAGAAGTCGTTCCTGCCCGACTCCAAGATGTGAGTCTAGGTACCACAGGTCTTGTGCTGGTAGATGTAAGCCTACCACAGGTCTTGTGCTGGTAGATGTAAGCCTACCACAGGTCTTGTGCTGGTAGATGTAAGCCTACCACAGGTCTTGTGCTGGTAGATGTAAGTCTACCACAGGTCTTCTGACATGTGCTGGTAGATGTAAGCCTACCACAGGTCTTCTAACATGTGCTGGTAGATGTAAGTCTACCACAGGTCTTCTAACATGTGCTGGTAGATGTAAGCCTACCACAGGTCTTGTGCTGGTAGATGTAAGCCTACCACAGGTCTTGTGCTGGTAGATGTAAGTCTACCACAGGTCTTGTGCTGGTAGATGTAAGCCTACCACAGGTCTTGTGCTGGTAGATGCAAGCCTACCACAGGTCTTGTGCTGGTAGATGTAAGTCTACCACAGGTCTTCTAACATGTGCTGGTAGATGTAAGCCTACCACAGGTCTTCTAACGTGCTGGTAGATGTAAGCCTACCACAGGTCTTCTGACATGTGCTGGTAGATGTAAGCCTACCACAGGTCTTGTGCTGGTAGATGTAAGCCTACCACAGGTCTTCTGCTGGTAGATGTAAGCCTACCACAGGTCTTGTGCTGGTAGATGTAAGCCTACCACAGGTCTTCTGACATGTGCTGGTAGATGTAAGCCTACCACAGGTCTTCTGCTGGTAGATGTAAGCCTACCACAGGTCTTGTGCTGGTAGATGTAAGCCTACCACAGGTCTTCTGACATGTGCTGGTAGATGTAAGCCTACCACAGGTCTTGTGCTGGTAGATGTAAGCCTACCACAGGTCTTCTAACATGTGCTGGTAGATGTAAGCCTACCACAGGTCTTCTGACATGTGCTGGTAGATGTAAGCCTACCACAGGTCTTCTAACATGTGCTGGTAGATGTAAGCCTACCACAGGTCTTCTAACATGTGCTGGTAGATGTAAGCCTACCACAGGTCTTGTGCTGGTAGATGTAAGCCTACCACAGGTCTTCTGCTGGTAGATGTAAGCCTACCACAGGTCTTCTGCTGGTAGATGTAAGTCTACCACAGGTCTTGTGCTGGTAGATGTAAGCCTACCACAGGTTTTCTAACATGTGCTGGTAGATGTAAGCCTACCACAGGTCTTGTGCTGGTAGATGTAAGCCTACCACAGGTCTTCTGCTGGTAGATGTAAGCCTACCACCACAGGTCTTCTGCTGGTAGATGTAAGCCTACCACAGGTCTTGTGCTGGTAGATGTAAGCCTACCACAGGTCTTGTGCTGGTAGATGTAAGCCTACCACAGGTCTTCTAACATGTGCTGGTAGATGTAAGCCTACCACAGGTCTTGTGCTGGTAGATGTAAGCCTACCACAGGTCTTCTGCTGGTAGATGTAAGCCTACCACCACAGGTCTTCTGCTGGTAGATGTAAGCCTACCACAGGTCTTGTGCTGGTAGATGTAAGCCTACCACCACAGGTCTTCTGCTGGTAGATGTAAGCCTACCACAGGTCTTGTGCTGGTAGATGTAAGCCTACCACAGGTCTTCTGCTGGTAGATGTAAGCCTACCACCACAGGTCTTCTGCTGGTAGATGTAAGCCTACCACAGGTCTTCTGCTGGTAGATGTAAGCCTACCACAGGTCTTCTGCTGGTAGATGTAAGCCTACCACCACAGGTCTTCTGACATGTGCTGGTAGATGTAAGCCTACCACAGGTCTTGTGCTGGTAGATGTAAGCCTACCACAGGTCGTCTGCTGGTAGATGTAAGCCTACCACCACAGGTCTTCTGCTGGTAGATGTAAGCCTACCACAGGTCTTCTGCTGGTAGATGTAAGCCTACCACAGGTCTTCTGCTGGTAGATGTAAGCCTACCACCACAGGTCTTGTGCTGGTAGATGTAAGCCTACCACAGGTCTTGTGCTGGTAGATGTAAGCCTACCACAGGTCTTGTGCTGGTAGATGTAAGCCTACCACAGGTCTTGTGCTGGTAGATGTAAGCCTACCACAGGTCTTGTGCTGGTAGATGTAAGTCTACCACAGGTCTTCTAACGTGCTGGTAGATGTAAGTCTACCACAGGTCTTCTGACATGTGCTGGTAGATGTAAGCCTACCACAGGTCTTCTAACATGTGCTGGTAGATGTAAGCCTACCACAGGTCTTGTGCTGGTAGATGTAAGCCTACCACAGGTCTTCTAACGTGCTGGTAGATGTAAGCCTACCACAGGTCTTCTGACATGTGCTGGTAGATGTAAGCCTACCACAGGTCTTGTGCTGGTAGATGTAAGCCTACCACAGGTCTTCTGCTGGTAGATGTAAGCCTACCACAGGTCTTGTGCTGGTAGATGTAAGCCTACCACAGGTCTTCTGACATGTGCTGGTAGATGTAAGCCTACCACAGGTCTTCTGCTGGTAGATGTAAGCCTACCACAGGTCTTGTGCTGGTAGATGTAAGCCTACCACAGGTCTTCTGACATGTGCTGGTAGATGTAAGCCTACCACAGGTCTTGTGCTGGTAGATGTAAGCCTACCACAGGTCTTCTAACATGTGCTGGTAGATGTAAGCCTACCACAGGTCTTCTGACATGTGCTGGTAGATGTAAGCCTACCACAGGTCTTCTAACATGTGCTGGTAGATGTAAGCCTACCACAGGTCTTCTAACATGTGCTGGTAGATGTAAGCCTACCACAGGTCTTGTGCTGGTAGATGTAAGCCTACCACAGGTCTTCTGCTGGTAGATGTAAGCCTACCACAGGTCTTCTGCTGGTAGATGTAAGTCTACCACAGGTCTTGTGCTGGTAGATGTAAGCCTACCACAGGTTTTCTAACATGTGCTGGTAGATGTAAGCCTACCACAGGTCTTGTGCTGGTAGATGTAAGCCTACCACAGGTCTTCTGCTGGTAGATGTAAGCCTACCACCACAGGTCTTCTGCTGGTAGATGTAAGCCTACCACAGGTCTTGTGCTGGTAGATGTAAGCCTACCACAGGTCTTGTGCTGGTAGATGTAAGCCTACCACAGGTCTTCTAACATGTGCTGGTAGATGTAAGCCTACCACAGGTCTTGTGCTGGTAGATGTAAGCCTACCACAGGTCTTCTGCTGGTAGATGTAAGCCTACCACCACAGGTCTTCTGCTGGTAGATGTAAGCCTACCACAGGTCTTGTGCTGGTAGATGTAAGCCTACCACCACAGGTCTTCTGCTGGTAGATGTAAGCCTACCACAGGTCTTGTGCTGGTAGATGTAAGCCTACCACAGGTCTTCTGCTGGTAGATGTAAGCCTACCACCACAGGTCTTCTGCTGGTAGATGTAAGCCTACCACAGGTCTTCTGCTGGTAGATGTAAGCCTACCACAGGTCTTCTGCTGGTAGATGTAAGCCTACCACCACAGGTCTTCTGACATGTGCTGGTAGATGTAAGCCTACCACAGGTCTTGTGCTGGTAGATGTAAGCCT